TGTCTGGGAAATGTTCTAGGGCATGTCAGCCAAAGAGTTGAAGAAACTGGGATTCATATCCCAGTGCTAGCATTAACCAGCTGTGTAATTGTAAACAAGTGTCTTTACCTCTCTGAGCCCTGTGTCTTCACAGTAAAGTGAGGTCAACTGTCCCTGTGTTCAAGATTAGTTCAAGGGTTTACAGATACAATCTAAGTAAAATGTTAAGCAAAGTCCTATGCACAGAATATGCACCCATTAACAGAAATTGTTACTATCATTCAGAAAATAAAGAATTTTCACAGTGTCCAGCAGAAGTGCAGATGCTCCCCAACTCCACCCTGAATGGCTAATGCTTGGAGACACAATGTTCTCCCTGAACATCACCCCATCATCACCATAGCCTTTTCTATCTTGTTCTCTGAACAAAGAAAATAGAAAAGTGATCTCTCATCAGGAGTCTGCTGGTGATGTTTGTCCCATCCCAACAGCAGCAATGCAGGGCTGCAGCAGTTATGAAGAGGAGAGGCAAACTTCTAAAAGGGTGTCCAGAGCATCTCAGGAGCCCAAACCCAAGGATTTCTTTCACAGGCTGCCACTACTTAGTATCCCACCTATGAAACAGGCTAATGATGTTCTGAGGATAGCAAGCCTATTACATAAATCAAAATCAAGGGCTGGATGCTAAGTTTTATGTTAGACTGCCAAGTTTCATGGTTGTTGAAATAACTAGTGAAAAAAGATTTTGAAGAGCCCAGCTAAAGCCATGATGAGCTTCAGGGAACATCAAGAACCCCTAGGCAAAAAGCAGAAAATAATAAAGTTCATCAGTGAGGCCAAGAGCCTTTGCATTCAAATAACCGGGGATTTAGCTTAATGGTTCCATCACCAGCCTTGCAAGCTCAAGGTTCCAAGTTGAATCCCCAGTACTGATATAGATATACAATATTAGTCCTTCTCAAACTTCAGGACAGGTAAGAATTCTCCAAGGAGCACTCAGAAAATGCAGGCTCTGGGCCTGCCTCCTGTGATTCAGATACAAGGCCCAGAAATCTGCATTTGACAAACACCTCTGTACAAGTGATCCAGGTCCACACTTTGACAGACACCAGCAGCCTTCTCCACAAAGTCTTGTTCAACTGCTTTGTTTGTGAGTATTGAACACTTTTCCTTGGGCAAGAGACTGAAAGGGAGGAAACAACTTTGATTCTTGCAAGATAATTAATAATGGAAACTTGCAAGATAATTAATAATCTCTATTAGTTACTTGCTGGAAAATTCAGTGTTCATGCACACACTATAGAATGGATAAAAATATTATATTCAGATGATTTGATATTTCTGAGATGGAATAAATTCAATGGTTGAGTAAAAGGCAAAAAGCAAACTGTCTATCACCTGAAGTTAGCAGCTAAGATAATATTTCAACCACCCATCATGAAAGGAGAGCTTGGGCCAACAACACAATCAGATGATATATTCAAGAGCTCATTCCAGAACTGGTTAAATGCAACTGGAGACTGGATAAAGAAGTTTTTTTTTTTATAAAATGGAGTACTACTCAACCATAAAGAACGAGAAACTAGAGACATTTATAGCTAAATGGATATACATTGAGGTGATACTCTTAAGAGAAATTAATAGGACACACATGTAAATATTGAATAGTTTCTCTGATGTAAAAAGCTAAAAGTGTAAATAAGTATTCAAAATGTATAACTGATAATGTGAAATAGAAAGAAAAGGTCGAAAGGGGGAGGGGAAGTGGGATGGGTTGAGGAAAGGAAAGAAGGGAATGAATTAATATGAGAAAATTAAAAAATTGAAACAAAGTCTTTGTAAATGGGGGGGTGGGGGTTGAAGGTAGGGTCAGGGACTGGGAAAAAATAAGAACCAAGATGGATTACATAAAGGTACAAATTCACAATGATGACTATCATTATATTGTATACCTAACATGTATCAGAAAGGGTTAAATACAATCATATCCAAAAAATGGCTATTTCTACTCCACATAAACCCAGAGAGAGTGTTGGGGTCTAAGGTGACCTAATATTTTTATAAATAACTCTTAAAACGGAGTGGGAATTATGCAAATAAAACCATAGATGATACAAAAGTGGCAGGAATTGCAAATCTGTGGAGAATGAAATTTAACTACTGGGCAATGTCTTTAAATTTGCCTTTATTGAATCTTGTATATTGAAGTCACACATTATTGTATCGGTTTATTGAGACTCAATAGGGCCAGATGCAGTGATTTATGGAAAGAAGGATAATCAAATGCATGAGTAGAAAAGAGCAAACACCTGGAAAGACCTGGCATGAATGGTGCAGGGAGACACGGGGCAGCAGAGGTACCCTCTGCCAATGAGGGCTGTGCTAAGAGCTGGTGTGTAAAACAAAGACAGAAATGTATCTGTTGCTCTTTGAGCCACTTGGCCTTGATGTTGCTTCCAATGGGAGTGCTAGGCTTAAACACAGACTCAAGAGGGAACTCATATCAGGATACCACAGAGAGCATGGGTTGGGACCCTAGCTCAACTGAGACTCCAAAGGATATCAGCCAAAATGCTGAATGTGCCTATTAATCAGGCAAAGATGCACAAAAGACAAGGGGACCTTTAGGAAAGAATATTTTCAGCTTCTGTGAAGCCAAATCATTCAAAGCACAGCTGGAATCATGGAAGAAAAAAACAAAACAGGGAAGCTTATGGTAACACTGTCCCTGGGGACAATGGGGAAGGGCAACCAGACACCTCTCTACTTAGGATGCATTAGAGATTATTAAAAGCATTCCTAGCCCAGTTGAGGGGTGGGGGTGGGACTCATGACCTCACCAAAGGTCATTTCTATCCCAAAGGAACCCCATGTCTGAAGAGCACCAGATAAAAATAAAGTCTATTAATCACTGAGCTGCCACACAATGTCCTAAGAGAAGGACAATCTACAATGTAGAGAAGGGCAATCTACAATGGTCCTCGCTCCTCCAAGGGAGGAAGAGGGAGCCTGCACACAGCCAGTGTAGAGAAGGGCAATCTACAATGGTCCTCGCTCCTCCAAGGGAGGAAGAGGGAGCCTGCACACATGCAGGCAGAACCAAGAAAGCAGCTGTTGAAGACTCTGGAAAGCCAATGTCAACTTATACGTTAGGCCTCCCAAGCACTCTAGGGTACCAGGCAGGTAGAAGAGACCTTGTGGGGAAGAGATCAGAAACAGTACATGGCACCAAAAACCCCTAAACTAAGCCAAGAGGTAGGAGGAGTGGGTTTGGTACAAGCACTTCGTGCAGAAGGACAGCAGCTAGGAAAGAGGGTGCCTAGAAAGGGTGCCTCATGGCGACAACATACAAGGAGGCGGGTGTCAGAGACAAAAGTGGGAAGAGAGGGATGGGCGTTGAGAGAAACAAGAGCGAAGGGCACATAGGGTGTGACTGGGATTATAGGGGGCTTTTATTAGCTAGGAGTCCAGTGAAAGCCATAAAGATAATCCTACTATTGATGATAGCAGAAAATCACATACATAAAAAAGCATTTTAAAAGAGGAGTAGAGCAGCAATGCCCCAGTTCCAAAGCAGCTCTTGGTGCTCTTGATGGATGGGCTCTCCCAGCCAGACATAGCTGAGAGCCAGCATTGTGGGGACTAAGGATCCTTCCCAGCCCACAGCCCAGAACCAGTCTCCCAGGGGCTAGCAGTCTTGGGCTGTCTCTATGTCAGAACCAAACAAACCCCATCTGGGAAGTAAGACCCAGGCCAAAGCAGGTACCTCCTGGCATTAGCAAAAGGCATCCAACCCCATACCCTGCTCCCGCCTCATCCTGGAACGCAGTTGCCTTGGGCTGGAAATGTTACCTGCAGGAGTCGCCTCAGGAATGTCATCTGCACGGTGTATTAAGCAGCCAAATGGGGGTCATGGAGTTTGAGTTCTTCTAGCAAAATGTTCTCCAACCAGCTGTCACCCCACCGGGCACAGAATAACTTTTTGAAATCAAAAGAGTCCAGTGAAGAGGGAGGAAAAAGACACTACCCCCAGCCTACCCACTGTACCCCTCACCCCTGTCTCTTTCTCTCTGCCTTCATGGAGACTGCGGACTCTGCCGGGTGGATGGGGCACCCAGAGCAAGCACCATGCCGGGACCTGCCTCAGCTGTTTCGCTGCCATTTTCTGAGCTGTTTCCGAGCCCTATGTGCTCAAGAGGAGGAGATAAGAAGGGAAGATTATGAGGAGTGAGGTTCCGAGGGCCACCCTCGCCATGGAATGAGCTAATATAGCCTGATCCAGTAAGAAGTTAACTCAGGCAAGGATTTCAAAGCCACCACCCCAAGCCATGGTGAATAGCAAAGACAAAGGCCATGTCTCCAGGTGACCACAATCAGCCTCAAGCTGAGGTTTCATGAGGTGCATATTGGCCATGGCTCCCAGCCATTCCTGTCCCTCTGCCCACCCTAGCGCCGTAAGCAGACTAACCCAGGAGCCAGGCAGTCACTTGTCCAAAAGATGTCTCAGAAGCAAGCAAGAAAGGCTGGAGATGGATGCAGGGCCATTTATTAAAGTAAGTCATTGTCATAGAAAGATTCATAACCTGCCCTACCTAGGACAGGAGAGAGAGAGAGAGAGAGAGAGAGAGAGAGAGGAAATTAGAGGGAAACAAATGGAAAGCCACAGGAGCCAAATATCTTTGTTGGAGGGTTTTGAGTTATGCTTTTGTTTGTAACTCTCTGAAATAGAGAAAGACAGAGGATGAATCTTAAAAGAGATGGGGAGACTGAAGGAGAACAAGCCAGAGGAAAGCCAGGAAGGAGACCCTGCCAGGCACAGGCACACAGATCCAAGGAGGAGCTTCCCGGACAGCTCCCCCTCATGCACAGATGTCCCTGACGAAGTGGCAGCAGGTAGAGGGGCGACTGACATGGGGGTGCAGGCAGGCCACCAGGGTGCAGGCCCAGGAGCTGATGGGCTGGCAGCCAAGGAAGCACAGGGAAGGGTTGGCCTGGGGCAGGGCAGAGGAGCCTGTACTTACTGTCACAGACGTAAGGTTTGTCGTGGTCTTCCTGAGAGGCAGCGTCATGCCTCCTCCTGCCACCCGCAGAGCCACGAGCCTGGGGAGACATTTGAGTTGTGGATATTTGTTACTACAATCATCACTACAGGCCCTGAGCAGGCGCCCTGTGGGGCCCTGTGCACTTCCCCGTCTCTCTGCACACTATCTTCATCACAGTCTTTGAACCACCACCAACCCCATTTTACAGGTGAGGAAACTGAGGCCCAAAGAGGTAGGTAACTTGCCCCAAATCACTCAGCTACTCCACCTGGATCTCCTAATTAAGTCTTCACAACTCCGAAAAGGAGGTAGTGCTATGATCCCCATTTCACAGATTAGGGGACTAATGCAATAGAGAGGTCAAATCCCTTGCCCAAGGCCATTCAGCTACTAAATGCAAAGCCAGGACATCAGCTCAGGGCAGTATGACTCAAAACCCACATCTGGCCACACATGGTGGGGCATGCCTATAATCCCAGCACTCTGGGAGACCAAGGCAAGAGCATCAAAGTTTGAGCCCAGCCTTAGAGGCTTAGCAAGACCCTATAGGTCTCAAAGATAGAAGTTTGAGAAAAGGGACTGGGAATGTTGATTAGTGTAAAGGCTTTGGGTTCAGTCCCCAATATCGCAAAAGAAAAAACACATCTACCAAATTCCCACAAACTAAAGCCTCTTCCTCCCACTTTGTTGACAGCACAAAGATGCCAACCCTGCACCTCCTGCTGATCAACTGATAGCATTAAGAAGTAAGTCCTGGAGAGGCAGGAAGTATAACAGCAATTGTCACCCACGTTCCTGTGCCCATACTGCCAACCTCCCACATGTCTCAAGAAACAGCCAAGCCTGGCATCTGGACCCGAGGCATGAGCCCAGGCATGGGGGAGCTCCCCCTGCCTCTTCTAGAGGGGTGGTCTGCCTCCAGCTTCCAGCCTACAGCCTGCTACTACCTTGCTCCTCATTCACAGTGTCCTCGGCGGGACCCTGGTGCCCCATCCTATATGCATCTCCCAGGAAGGGTCTGCAAGGTATGGGAGCAGAGGAGGGGCGGTGATGAGTTCTACCTTTGGGAATAAGAGGCCAGTCAAGAGCTGGCTCGCAGTGCCACAGCCCAGGACGGTGGCTCAGTAAGGTTTATTTTTAAACCCGTGCAAGACCCACACTGGTCACGTGTACAGCACCCTGGACGCCTCCAGGTCATTCTTTGGTAATAAGTAGCATTCAACTCCCAGCCAAGGAAAGGGCCAGCTGAGGTCTTTGGGAACAGAGAAGGGGCACCAGATGAGGCTAAGACATGGCAGCACCCATACAGGGGAAATGGGGCAGGCCCAGGGTCTGGCCTAGAAAAGTGGCCTTGGGGACTTCATGATGGAGAGGCCCCTGCACACACACTCATGCAAACACACTTCACTGGGAACTTCATGGTGGAAAGACTTGGGATGCTCACACACACACACACACACACACACACTCTCTCTCTCTCTCTCTCCTCTCTCTCTCTCT